TGAAGACCCACATTTACAGTTCCCTTCAAATACCTCAGAATCCTTTTTACACCCATCCAATGCAATTATGTTGGTGCAGCAGTAAAGCAAGTCAAAATGCTTACTGCACAAGCTATGTCTGGTCTGGATCATTGTGACGGATACAACAAGTTCCCTATTGCTGACTGATATATCTCTTGATCACAGTGAAAGTGAAAGCTTCACTTTTGTCCTCACCCAAACTGTTATGAAAATCAGTGCTCATAGGTGTTGGAGCAGTATTACAATCTTTCATGGTATATCTCTCCAACAACTGTTCAATTTTTCTTTATTGATTGAGAATATAACCACCTTTCTCAGTTTTTTGTATCTCCACACTGAGATATTTTTTTATTTCTCCCAAATTCTTCAATTCAAATTTCTTCTTCAACTTATTAGCTAATTCGTTTACTTGTGATTCATACTTTGCAATGAAGCAAAGATCATCCACAAATGCTAACAGCTGACAATCCCCATCTTTTAACTTTCCAGTGTATATGCATCCATCAGCCTTGCAGCTCTTGAACCCAAGACCTTTCAATATCTTATCTAAACATAGATTCCAATTCCTGGCTGACTGCTTCAGCTCATAAATGGCCTTGTTCAATTTATACACTATGTTAGGCTTTTTACTTTTATACCCCGGTGCTTGAACCATGTAAATTTCTTCTTCTAATTCTGCATTGAGGAATGCAGTGGTTATGTCAAAATGCCAAATTTTATGGCCACGTGCAGCTTCCAACGCTAGTGTCAGTCTGATGCTTTACAGTTGGCACAAATACCTCATCATAGTGCACATTTTTCATCTGTGAAAACTCTTATGCCACTAACTTTGCTTTATATTGTATCTCATTATTGTTCAGTAGTTTCTTCTTGTATACCCACTTGCATCCTATAGCTTTGCTACCCTGTGGCAAAGTCACAGATGTGAACACTTCATGGTCTCCCATGGATTTCATTTCTTTGTCCATGACTTTCCATTTTGCTTGTTCAATTTTAGGTAATGTCAATACTTCCTTATAGTTTTTTGGGTCATACTAGAGGTGGTATTCAGCAGGTTCTGACCAGTTCTGGAGAACTGGTAGCGGAAATTTTGAGTAGTTTGGAGAACCGGCAAATACCACCTCTGACTGGCCCCACCCCCATCTCTTCTGTGCCTCCCGAGTCCCAGCTGATTGGCTGGGTTGTCTTTTGTTGCCCTGCACAGGAGAACGGACCTGGAAAGCAGGTGAGTGGAGTGGGGAGGGAATGGAGATTTTGCAGTAACCTTCCTCTGCTATGCCCACCAAGCCACGCCCACCAAGCCATACTATACCCACAGAACTGGTAGTAAAAATTTGTGAATACCACCACTGGCTCATACCATACATTACACACCTTAATTTTACTAGCAGAATACCTTGTCAGGTGGAATCACTTTGTTCCATCGCTCTGACCTGCATGGCATTGACTGCTCCTGTGTTTCAACCTTCTCTTGCTTCATGTCTTGTTCAGTTTCTCCTCCCTGAATGCTGATACTGTCACTAAGTGAGTTACTGTCACTAAGAGAGTTACCATCACTAAATGGATCACCATCACTAAGTGGATCATTCCAGAAATTTGCATCGATTATGTTTCAATTTTGCTCTGCAAAGCTTGCAAACCTTGAAATCACTATTATTTTGCTCCCCATCGCTAAAGCAATAGCTCTTTGAGCCTGGCTCCTAGCCCATAAACCTAAGCTTTCTAGCCTTTGGCTGTCCCTTTCTTCTAATTGCTTTTGGAATATGCACCCATGCATTGCTTCCAAACACCCTTAAATGTGCCAGAGATGGCTTTCTCCCATATAGCACTGCATATAGAGTATCATTATTGGAGGAACTCCACAAACTGTTCCATCTTTTGAACAACTTTGAAGCTGACATGGCCAAGCTTATGGTGCAAAAGATGAACACAGGAATCATGTTTTGCCACATTGCTAAATGTTTGTGCACACCAAACATTTTGTTCCTGCAACACATATAGGGTAATCTTGCTTTATGCCCTTTGCAAATAGTATGCCATTTTGCTTTATGAGACACTTCCCATTTACAAATGTGGTCTCAAATCCTTGCTTGTCTAAACTAGGGACACTCAGCAAACTATGCTCCATTTCAGGCACACACAAAACATTGTTGAACCTTGTTTCCAGATATGGAATTTGCACACTGCCTTTTCCAATGACTTTAGCCTTCTTGCCATTTGCCAAGGCTACTGCATCTCCAGCAGCTGCATCCATCCTGTAAAGCAATTTAGAATTACTAAGAATTGTTTGACTAGCTCTACTATCAACTAGCCATTGATTTCTCTCATTACAATTGCTGGCTTTTGCCACAGCAGTTTGTCCATCAGCTAATTATCTTCCTTGCAAATTGCTTCTTCTGTCTTGCAAATAATTTTTTCTTTGCAACTTGCTTCTTTGCAAACAGTCTCTCTTTAAATGAGTTGTTTGTCTACAAATGAAGCACCTCTTCTGTTGCTGAGTTGTAATCTGATATCCCCTGCTGTTCTTCTCTTCTCTGGAGACAGCCAGTCTGGAATTTTCCATTCTGCTCCTTGGCTTTTTCTATAATGGTGTTTCTGCTCTCCAGCTAGTAAACACGCTTTAAGAGCTTCTAAACGCAGTTCCTGCTCTGGTTTGCATTCAAACACTGCAGAAACAATATTCCACAAGTCACTCAGACTGTTCAAAACCAAAAGCACTTTCTGAGATTCAGGAAACTGCATTCCACACTGTTCTAACTCCACAAACAACATTTGCTTATTCACTAGATGCTGCTCATTGGATTCTTCTGGTTGCAAACTGGCTCTGTATAACTTCCTTGATAGTTGCACAATATTGCATGCTGACATACTCACATGTACAGTCCTTAATTTCTGCCAGACCTCCTTTGCAGTCTTTAAATCAGCTACATTGATAAGCTGATCATCTTGTAAACTTGATGATATAAGCCATTGCTCTATCATGTTGCCTCTGATCTGCAGCAGTTAAGAGTGCTTGGGGTGGGTTTTCAACAATATCCCACAATTCCTTTATTTTCGGGAAACATTCCATCTTTGCAGCCCAAATAATATAATTCTTCTGACCCAAATGTGGCAGAAAGGTCTCCTTAATTTTGTCAGCCATCCTGCAAAGCTTTTCTCTGCCTTGTTTCTCCTTTTAAACACAGACAGTCTCTCTCAGCTTAAATTACAATTCAATCTTTACATGTGTTCTGGTTTTGGCTGGACCCATAATCTTTTTGAGTTTGCAGCATAAATTCAAGTCCAGAAAACACACAGGTGACTGATTTAGCAAGACTATTTACTTCTTGATAAACATAATAATATGAGTAAAGTTTACAATATCATTTGTAGATTCTTTCAAAGTAGCGTAAAGCAAAAGCAGCAGCAGCTCAGAGCAGATATCAGTTTCAGCAAGCAAGCAAGATAGTTTCACTTTCCAGCTGAGCACGGAGCTAAGCCACACCCAGACTCTCAGTTCCCAATTCAGCTCTCATTGGCTGACTTTGTTACTAAGCTCTATTCCAGTTCATGAATATACTCTGACACATCTTAGATAACTTATTTGGTATTAAATACTAATGATACATCATCTTATAGAAATTCTCTTTTAGATTATAATTTAATGTAAATTTTAAAGCCTTCATCCACATATTGTCTCATTGTTCAAGCATCACATTATATCCAAAATTCCTTGCCCACTGAATCATACAGTATTTTTTACATGTTCATTTTCCAAATTCAATTTCAATAAAATTTTATAAATATTAGCAATAAAATGTTCATCATTGCCACATAATGAAAGTTCCAATTCATTTTTAACAAAGTAAAAAACATAGCACTTTTTATCCCAATTTAATCCTTTCTTTCAGTTGCTGATAAGTAAACCAATGGCAAGCATAATCAAGTTCTTTCCTCGGCTTTAGTACTGGGTCACCAGAATTAAAAGATAACATTTTACCATATGTCAGCCAATCTGGCTTTGCCACCATTTCTTTTCTAAAAATAGCTTCCTCTGGTGAGACCCAAAGAAGCAACTTTGTAGAGAGCCTTGTTTTATTTTTATTACAAACTCTTAGTCTAACAAAATGGTTATTAAAATCAACATTAACTTTACTTTTGTCATACCATAAGTAGCTATGCCATCCAAATATTAATTGATTAATGGTGATTTAACTAATTCATGTAAAATTCAAAAGGTACAAGACAAGGATGTCCTTGGTCCCCTCTACTGTTTATTTTGCTTTTGGAAATCTTGAATAGAGATATCGGACAGAATGAAAAAATAAGAAGTATAAATATTAAGAAAGAAGTTAATAATTTGAGAGCCTTCGCTGATGATTTGGTTATATTTCTATAGGATCAAAAAAGTAATACCATTGTTGATCAAGGTGTTGCAGATAGTTAAATTGTGAAGTTTGTGGGGTTTTTATATCTTGCTAAAAGCATAGATCATTGGGACTGATATTCAAGGGATGAACCAGATATGAATTGTTATAAGTGGGACATTAGACAATCATTACATGGGGTAATATATTTCATATGAGAGCTACCCATCACAGGAAAGGTGGGTGTGATAATGATGTGCAAGAAACATTTTTTAATTATTATAATCTTTACATCTAAATACAAACTTTTTTGTACATGATTGAATTTGAAGTAAGAAAAATTAATATCTCTTGTGTATAGTAGCTTGCAAGCATTACAAGCATTACTAAGCATTGCATAGTAAAAATTCCTAGAAGAGAATAAACAATCCACTTTTTTATTCAAAAGAGCTGCCTTGAAAACTTAATTCCTCCAGTCATTTCTTTAAGCTCAGCCAATATGATTACAACCTGCTTAACTGAAGATGACCTTGAATTTGAACATGGGTACAGCAAAGGATTTAAAGCAATCAGCTCTTAATGTGAAATGTTTCTGAGGTTATATCTAATATTTTTCTTGGTGTATATATTTAGGTCCTGAACCTATTCATGCAAAAAGCAAAGAGAAACTGCAGGTGTCATGGGACAAAATGAGCAAATCCAAGTACAATGGAATTGAACCTGAAGATATAATTGAGAAGTATGGAATTGATACAGTCCGGCTATACATCCTCTTTACTGCCCCTCCAGAGCAGGATATCTTGTGGGAAGCAAAGAGTAAGAATCCTTCTCAAAACCCAAATTCTTCCGCTATCAAATTGGTATTTTTGTTGCAAAATGCTTTTTATATTTTCAAAATGCTGACAAAATCCCCAGATTAAACCTTTTTGCTATTTTCATACTTTGTTAGTTATAGTTGTGTTATTTAGGAGTTGCCATAAGAAGACATCCAATTCTCTTTCTAGCAATCTTCTCTAACCTGTGGCCCAAACACACGTTCTTGGCCCTTTCCATTCCAAATATTTGCCAGACACAAATGTTCTATATCAGGCTTCCCCAAGCAGCTTTCAGGTGTACTATGAATTTAGTTACCTTAATTCTCTGTCATCAAATATTCCAGCTCATGGAAATACAGTTCAGCATACTGGAAAAAAGTCATTAGAGTGTATGTGATTTTTATTTTGAAGATATTTTGAATGTTACTGAAAACAGAAGTAGATGTGTTTTTGAAAGAAGAAATTAATATTTGTTCATATATAAATGTAGTTCCTGAAATTTTGTGTTTTGGATTGCTGACAGGATGTATCAATTTAGATTCTTTCTATGTACAACTCCTTCATTGATCTGAAACCATATTGTTGCTTCTCTGTCTGTACAAAGCCATACAAGGGTCATAGATGAGCAATTAACTTTGCAAGTTAACCCAATAATCCTCATGGAACTGGGGAGAGGAATTATTTGCTTGATGACTGACTTCTTATCAACCCCTTCCCTCTGGAACTATTTTCTTCATGAGGTCATAGTGCCTTAATGACATTAGTCCCAGCATTCTTTCCTCATCTTAGTTGAGCAATCTGAAGATGGCTCTGTTCCCCACACAGGATACGTTGTTTTTTATTGCATAACAAATATGTATAAATAGGGATTGGTTGACCACAGATTTTTGCACTTTGCCATTAATTCAAAAAGCAGAAGGATCTTCAACATTTACATACTAGGTATGCTCCCAGAGGGTACAATAGTGAGAATTAGAGGGTTGAAGGAGAACCATTGTTTTCAGTAATTATGCAGAAATGTTTAAGAAGCAGATCTATAAAAAAGCAACTCAGATATGAGGATATGAACTGTTATACGCTCACATTCTTTAATTCTGTAGAAAATGCGGAATGCCTTATCTTCCTTCTTTGTAAGCAGTACTACTTGAATCTGTATTTTTCTTTGTAATTTCCAAGGTAAGAGAGCACTTGGTTTAGACATCACTTTTTATCTAACTTACAGTGGACAACTCCGGTAAAAGGTTCCTAACATTAAACCATAAGCCTGAAGAAAGAAAGAAAAAATCAGAATATTTTAAATTCAATTAGTAGCTGCTTTATTATTAAACGTTGAATATCATTTTATCCCAATTAAATAAGACTATTTCTACTTGTTCTAAAATTAAAAAGTGGCACTAATGACTGATTATAAAAAAAAGGACAGAATTATTCTTTTTTTTTCCCCTAGCTGAAATCATTATCTTAACATGAGCTAATGAAAGCTTCTGTCTCCTATCATTTTTTTTTTAGCTGATGCAATCCCTGGAGTGTTACGATGGCAAACTCGCATCTGGCACCTAGCAACTAAATTTATAGAAGCCAGAAATTCTGGTCCACTACCAAGTCCTCACTTACTTAACCAGAAAGATAAACTGAATGCCAGACATATTTGGACACAGAAGAACTTCACTGTCTCTCAGGTTGGAAAGAGATTCTGCCTAGTCCAAACATTTTAGCAATATTTAACTGATGGCTAAAATCAAACTGCAACAGAGATGTAAATTTTTTTACTTGTTTAGGGCGCATTTCTATAGTAAAACATCCCTCTAAAGTGAGGGAAATTGGTCTGGTTCTATAATGGACAATAAAAATGTCACAGATGTAACAAGGCTAGATATGACATAGCAGGAAGTGCTACCTTCCACAATCCAGCACACAGTTCATCATGAAGTGGTAGTCCAGAACATCTGAAGACCATTATTTTGGAGAAAACTAGAGAATGTTTTGTGAAAATCAGTTATTGCTTTGTAGTTGTTGATGCAGATAACAACAATGTTCTATTTCATACATATCATACATGTTCCTATTTCTTCCATAATGTTGTAGCACCCAAAATAGTCATGAAGAACAATTGTAATGATATCTCAAATGTTACCAGATAGCAATCATCTTTGTCTTGCTCCAAAGCCAGGAATATTAAGTTGCCTTTATTTTATTTTATCTTTGTCTTTTAAAGATTACCACTTAAAGCCAATTTAGGGCTAATATTTTAAGGAGGGGGGAAGAATATGAACGCATTTATTCTACAAACTACAATTAATTATGGAATATGTAGAATGCTGTGTCTCGTCCCCCTCTCCCCAATAGCCCTTAGTAGTTAGTCTAAAGGGAGTCTAACCAAAACTCAACTGGTTTAGGTTTTTTTTAATGTTAAAATACTGCTTTAAAATCAAAGAGGCATTGATTGTATATGCTGCTGTTAGTTTGGTAGTCTATAAAAGGTGTCAAATGTTTTTAAAAATAGAGAACAAAACTTTTGATGGAGAACTTCTGTTGTGATCTAAGTTAACTGAAGAAAATGTTTGCTTTTGTGTTTTAGGTAACAGAATACTTCCTGGAAGATTATTTGTTTAATGGCATAATTTCTCGACTGATGGGCCTCAGTAACATATTGTTGGTAAGTATGCTATGCAAGTTTGCTTATTTTACAAAAAGTCTGTTTATTCCCTCAATGTACAATAAGGATCCAGTGTAATATATAGTATCAATACATGTGGCATACTGTTTAGTTTTGTGTGTATGTATGTTGATGTTCATCCATCATGTTCGAAGAGGACCTTGACATCTTAACGGGTTGCACATGTCATGCAGAAATATGTGGACACCATTGTTGTAGCATTTGCAGTTGTAGCTTTACAGAGTGCTTGCTTCTTTTGTGCTATAGTAATTCTTTTGTCTTTAAATATCTGGCAGCCTTGGTGGATCAATGTGCGCCATATCGATCGATAGATCTTGTACCAGGGTTTCCCAGGAGGTGGTGTCGATGTCCAGGGACTTGAAGGAGGCTTTCAATGTGTCTTGTATCGCTTCCTTTGTCCACCTTGTGATCGCTTTCCTTGAGACAGCTCACCATAGAGGAGCTGTTTAGGGATGCGATGGTCTGGCATCCTTGCAACATGGCCTGCCCAGCATGTCTGGGCTTTCATCAGCAGGGTGTGGATTGATGGCAAGCCTGCTCTGGACAGGACTTCTGTGTCTGGCACCTTGTCCTGCCACCGGATCCTGAGAAGTCTGCAGAGGCAGGTTGTATGGAAATGGTTGTCTCCTATATACAGTCCAAATCTCACTGGCATACGTCAGGGTAGTTAGCACTACTGCTTGATAGACTTTGAGCTTATAACAAGGCTTATTCCATGATGGTCCCACACATTGATCAGTAGTCTGCCATATGCAGAGCTTGCCTTGGTGATTCTGCAGTTGACCTCAATGTCAATTGTCACTGTGCGGGAGAAGGTGCTGCCAAGATATGTAAATTGGTCTACTGCTTGCAGCTTTTGTCCCTTCACTATGATGGTGGGTCTTATTGGGCTTTCGGAGCTGGCTGATGCATCACTTTGGTCTTCTTTGTGTTAATGAAAAGCTGAAGTTGTCACATGCTGCTGTGAATTATCCACACTGGCTTGCATTTCCTGCTCTGATCCAGCATTCAGGGCACAGTTGTCAGCAAAAAGGAGGTCTCATAGCACAGTCTCCTTTATCTTGGTGACAGCCTGGAGTCTTCCCAAGTTGAACAGTTTTCCGTTGGTCCTATATCTCAGGCTCTCCCAAGGAACTGTTCTGGAAGGCATATGACAACATAGCTGAAAACATTATGCTGAACAGGGTCAGTGCCAATACACACCCTTGCTTGATGCCATTTGTAATCGGAAAGGCCTCTGAAGCTTCTCCCTTGTCCAGAACATGAGCCATCATGCCGTCTTGGAACGGATGCACCATCAGGATAAATCTGTCAGGGCACCCAAACTTCAACATGATGTGCCGCAGATCTTTGCGATTGACAGTGTCAAAAGCCTTGGTGAGATCCACAAAGGTGGTGTACAATTCATGATTCTGCTCTTGACACTTCTCTTGGAGCTAATGATCTTGTCCACAGTGCCACCCTCTTTACAAAAACCTCAGGTAGTAGACCCTGTCCCAGGTGGTCAGTCAGGCAGTTCAGCAACACTCGTTCAAGGATCTTGCCTGCGATGGAAAACAGTGATATTCCTCTATGATTATTGCAAACTTATATTGATTCCCTTTCCTCTTGTAGAGGTGTACATTCCTGAGGAATGGATCCTTGATTCCAGAAGGATTGAAACAGATGAATGAGTTTGTCGACAAGCACTGCACCACCATCCTTATAGACTTCCACAGGGATCATGTCAGATCCTGGGGCCTTGCCACTGGACAGCTGTCTGATGGCCTGTAGGGTTTCAGTCTTTGATGATGGAGTGTCCAGGCTTTGGTTGGTATCCACCTAGGGCATTCTGTCGATCACCTCATTGTTGATGAAAGATGGACAGTTCGGTATGGATCAGAAGTGCTCAGCCCAATGCTGTAGAATCAGAGTCTTCTCAGTAATGACTGTTGCACCATTTGAGTGCAATACAAGAGAGCTCTGTGAGGGCTGAGGTGCATACAAGGATCTGAAGACTTCGTAGAACCTTTAGGCATCGTTTCTATCAGCAAACTTCTGAATTTAATCTGCTTTGGCATCTTGCGAAGCTTGCTCAGTACGGTCCTGCAAGTGTTGTTGAGTGTTTTTCTTAGCTATTGACAATGGGTTGCTCTGATAAGCACGGTGAAGGCAGTGCTTCTCAGGAAGTAGGGTCTTGATCTCTTCATTGTTTTTGTCAAACCAGTCCTGCTGCTTCCTGTGTAAGGGCCCAAGATATTGTGCAGAAGAGTACACAATATCCCAGAAACGTTCCCAGTCCTTCTCAGCATTTCCCTCTAATAGCAGCTCTGAGAGTTGGTTGTCAAGATCTTTTGCTAGTGAAGCTGCTGTATTGGGGTTCCTCAGTTTACTGACATTGATACATTTCATCACAGCTTTGTTTCCCTGTGGACATCTCTTTGACTTGATGTGAAAGCTTCATTTGGAGATGATGAATCTATGGTCAGTCCAACAGTCAGCACTTGGCATGACTTTGGTCACCCTTACATCCTGTCTGTCTTTCCTCCACACAATGACATAATAAATAAGATGCCAGTGCTTGGAGCATGGGTGCATCCAGGATATCTTTTTGCGAGTGGGCAATCAGAACATATGCCGCATATGTCTTCAGTAGTAATAGGCTATTGCTGTTACATTTACCAATTCCATTTTTTCCAATGACACCATCCCAGGCAGCGTGATCGGATCCTATTCTCAAGTTAAAATCGCTAAGTAAAATCAGCTTGTTTGTGCACTTCATTTACTTCATCCAGATTCATCGTTGTGGGTACATAGACGCTGATCAGTGTGGCCTGTTTTCCTTTCAGTAGTGGGAGATGCAATGTCATGAGATGATCGTTCACACCCTTGGGAAAACTGGCAAGTTTTCAGACAAGATGATTCTTAACCACAAAACCTACTCTAGATTCATGGTGTTCGTCACTGCTGCGTCCACATCAGAAGAATGTATAACCACCTCCTGTTTCTGTGAGCTGACCTTTGTTGGCTAGACGAGTTTCACACAGGGCCACAATATCAATTTTAAATCTTGCGAGCACTCTGGCAACTAGGGCTGTTCTTCTTTCTGGTCGATCTGCTAAGGGTTCTCTTGAAGTATGTGTATGTTCCATGTGCTAATAGTGAGTAATGTCACCTTATGTTTTCTTTGTATTTTTGTTATTCAACTCTCTGCTCCCTGCCCAGTCAGTCCCTGTTGCACATGCACAACATTGTGCGACATGCCTGTAGCTTGCCTTTGTCTACCCACCAGACCAGCCATTGCTGCTTGCCTTTCACTGCGGCCCCGCCTGATCTGATAATCTCCCTGGGTAAGTGCAAGCCCCGGTCACCTTTCCCCCATCACCACCACTTGCCTTTTGTTTTGCCCCTTCCTCCTACCACCACTTGCATTTTGCCGCTGCTGCCTGTCATCTTTCCCCCACCACCACCACTTGCCTTCCAGCTGGGAACACATGGAGAGGTTCCTGTTGGCTCCAGAAAGATCAGCAGCTGCTTTTGTCACCTGCTGCTCGAAGTCCCCCTCGCTTCAGGAAACAATCCTGAGCAGCAGAGAGAAATAGGATTCAACTGGGCTGCTTCTCTGCTGCCCAGGAGCTGTTTCCCTCCTCACACACACTGCTCTGCATTCCTCCTTGTTGCTTTCTGCGTTGTGTGCTCCTTTCCCTGCCCCACTGCTCTCCAATCCATTGCTTTGCTGCACTCTTTTCCCCCCCCCCCCCGTTACCGTTCTCTCCCATTGCTTTCGCCCCCCACTGCTCTCCATTGCTTTCTGCGCTGTGTGTTCCTTTCCCTGCCCCACTGCTCTCCAATCCATTACTTTGCTGTGCTCTTTTCATCCCCCTGTTGCTCACCTTTCTCTCCCATTGCTCTCCCTCCCACACTGCTCTCCACTCCTCCCCATTGCTTTCTGCGCTGTGTGCTCCTTTCCCTGCCCCACTGCTCTCCAATCTATTGCTTTGCTGCGCTCTTTTAATCCCCCCCATTGCCTTTCTCTCCCTTTGCTCTCTTCCCTCCTCCCCCCCGCTCCCCGGGGGAGAGTGGCAATTCCGGGATGCGCTGCCTCCGTGCTTGCCTTCCTGGCGAGAGCCTCAATGGTAGCCCTCTGTGTGATATCTGGCCATTCTTTCTCTCAAGTTTATTTTGCAAAATCCGTAGGCAACAATAGCAGGATAAATCATCCCTTGTGCCCCTGGAGTTTTTCAATGAAATACAAGGTATCAAACAAGTAACAATTACCTACAGTTGCTTTTCAGTCCTGCTATGGACATAAATGCACCAAAGAGGTTTTAGAAAAATAACCAACACAGGACTGTAGAAATCAAAGATAACTATTTTGGTCATTAAAATATTGTCTAAATCCAAACTTAGGAAATATGTTTGCTATATTAGTTCAGCATCATAAAATTGCAAGCTTTTTGATTCTCATCCTTCTCCTTTATTTACTTGTTTGTTTGTATTGTAGTCTTTGGTTATTGCATCAGCCACAGTTGAATCAATGGGACTGCATCCAGCAGAATTAGTCTAGGTAGAGGGCTGATTTGTTGTCCTAGGAACTAATAATCCAATATTGAGTTATTGATAATTCATGGTGATATTTTGCTTGTGTTTTTCTCTGACAAAGTCACTTAGATCTTATTAGCATTTTTCAACATTATTTTAAAAAAGGAAGAGAGATAACACTTCAGATATCTTTCAGAAAATGGCTATTTATTTCTTATTATTTAAAGAATGCAAGTTGTGTTTTGGAAATTATCAGAGGCATTAACAGAAAGTTAATGATCAAAAAATGAAGGCATAAAATGTCAAAGCAAAGTTTAAAAATTACTATTTTTATGTAAAAGTGGTAAATCATATTCTAGAAGCTAATCAGAGTGTGTGATAATTTACAGCAGCGCATCATCAATATTATTTTCTAATGTTCACTATTTGGAAATAAGTTTTGTGGTATTGACTATTTA